CATATACTCTTTTTCAGAGGTATTACTTTTCTTTATGCTTACATTAATTCCACTTCTGCTTGCAGCTGAATTAGAACTTGCATAGTGCTAATCTCTTTATTGACCACTTTGCCCAAAATAATTCCAGGGCACTTTGAGTTTTAGGAGCCCTGTGTAGGTACCAGCTTCAGTTATACCCAGTAGTTCATTTGAACTTCTGTTTTGTGCAGGAAGGTCTTGCGAACTTTGAGTTCCCTGTCATTGTGTATTGAACTTGCACATCCAGCTGGAACTTTGTAACATCTGCTGCCTCCCTTATATTTCAGAAACAACAGCTGAGGTACTGAAAATTGCTAACTGTACAGTGGGAAAGAAGGTAGCTTGGTTTGTGCTAGGAAAGCATTAAATGAATCAGACTACCTGACTCTGTTTTGCCAGAGCTATATCAGTATTAGTGCCAGATAATTTAAGTAGATCTGAAGTACTACAGTAATGCATCAGAGTTACAGTGTTGGCCTAAGCCCTGTGGCAAAGATTGTAAGTACCCCTTTTTTTTTTTTAATAAACATTTTTTACTCATAAAATAAATGGATAATGCCTTATTCCAAGATAGCTACAGAAAACCTTCATGGATGGAAGTTGTTTATTTCAGTAATGCAAAAAAAAATTTGTCTTAAGTTAGCTCAATTAGTTTGTAACTTATTCCGTGGTACTGGAAATCAGAACATTGATCAGTTCTGTTCTTTGCAGTCAGAATTATAGCTTGGGTCTTTATTATGACTGTGCCTGACTTCTCCAGTTAATTCAATTGCATTTCAATGGCTGAATCAGAAACATCTCATTTACCTCATCAAAGTACTATATAGTATTGTATCCTAGTACAATATACGGATCCCACAAACCTCTGGGAGGATTTTGGGTGTCTTAGGGAGGGAAAAGGTAACATTTCAACAGCGAGCTACAGATTTCATCATGTTTACTCCTGGGCTGTTTGTCCCACTGTACTTACTCTGGTATTACACCACTCGGTGATGCATTCCCAGCAGAACAGGTGCCCACAAGGTGTGGCTGTTGCATGTCTCCGTTCCTCCAAACACAAAGTGCAGCGGGACTGGCGCCCAGTAGTTTTTTCCTTTATCGTATTTCTAATCAACACAGGTATTAATTAGTTTTATGAGGCCTGTTTGCAAGAAATACCTGTTAACGCAATCTTGTAAAGCCTTCCTTCAAATGTTAACCCTTCCTGTGAGAGTCCCACACATAAAAGCAAGGCATGAAATCTAAGATGTTTAGTAAGTGAGCGTGTCCAACATTATGCTACATTAGGTTCTATCTTAAGTCAAAATGTAATGCCAGTGCTCTCCCTGTTTGTGAAAGCCATTACATTTCCCACTATTGCTTCTACCTTTCCTATTAAGTAAAATGAACATACTTCTGGAGAGCTAGATTGCGGTGTAGTTTCCATTCCTGCCTTGCTCTCTGCTTTTGTTGGAAGCTGTATATCTGGACACCAATTGTCAGAAGAAGATGGAAGAGTGAAATTATTCCTAGGAACTTGTAACTTGATCGAATGCTCTGATCTTCTCCTTGTACTCCTCCAAAGTGCAGCTGCAAAATGCACACAAATAGAGATGTTTAATTGCTTCAATTTTACAAAATTATGCCTTCCCCCATAATTGCCCTTATCTCCTTCTCACCCAGTCTGCACTGTATTATAATCAACAAAATTCTATATCCTTTTTATGCAAACTGCATCCCAAAAGAAGCCAAAATACTGCAGTGCACACAATTTTCACACAATTAACAGATCCACTTACATATCTGATTCCTGCAATTCTTTTAGAGAGGTGATAAAAAGTGCCATGTATGTAGAACACTGCCAGATGTAGTCGATGAAGAAAAGGAATGGATTGCTTAAGAATGTACACAACTTGCAGGATTGTTTTCTTCTGTTTTTCTGTAAGCACCCTGACTTGTTTCTGAATCCAGTTTCGTATTAAGGTCCTACTGGACAAGCCAAGTGCTGGGTTGCTTTGCAAGGTTCTAGCCCCATCATCTTCTATCTGCAACTCATGTTCCAGGTGCTGCAATCCCTTTTCTAAGTAATAGGGTACTACAGTATGAAGAGAAACGAAAATGGCCCGCCGAAGAAAAGAAGGCACCCTTTTCTTGGTTGAGTCAACTTGAATGATGTTGACATATTCTTCACCCAGAGTCTGATAACCTAGATGTGAGTAACAGAGAATAAGCAGTTTAGTGTGTGGCTGGGGGGTAATGAGGTGAGCAATATATTTGCACCAGCATTGGGTATCTGCAATGGTTGTAGGCTTAAGGCAGGAGACCATAGGTATCTGGATCGATATATTGTATTCATATTGTATGGATTTACTGCTGGGTTTGATCACTGCCTTCTGACAGTTATTCAATGACAAGGACTGGCAGCAGATCCGAAACACCGCAGGGCAGCACAGCACGCAGCGCGTTACCTGACAGGGTGCTGAGGGCGAAGTAGGCGACGTCGGAGAGCAGCTCGATCTCCCTCCTCCACTCCAGCCACTTCTTAGCCCCTAAGAGACCAGGATCGTTATTTTAAGTAAGATTCGTACTGATCCGTGCTCTTCTCCGACAGCGCTTCCAGCCCCGCCAGACCCCGTGAGGCAGCGCGCAGCCGGGAACCCTCAGCACCGTCCTGAGGAATGGAGCCGTCCCGCCCCGCGTCACCTCAGTACAGCACCGATCCTCAGGAGGGGTGACGTTACCCGCGATCCCGTGCAGCGCGGTGCCGGCCCCGCTGCGCAGCCCGCTCCGGTACAGCTCGTCCTTCTGCCCGCAGCGCACCAGCCGAGCCGGCCCTGCGGGGCCCAGCGCCATGGCGCGGCGCAGAGTGATGACGTCACTGCGGCTGGGCGGGAAGCTGAAGGGGAGGTGCGGTTCCCGCCTCGCTCTCGCGCGGCTAGGCAGCCGTTGGCGCTGCGCTTCCCGCCTTTCCGCTGAAGGGGGCGCTGTCCTCAGGTGAGCGGTGTCCGTGACGGCACGCGCCGCCTCAGAGTTCAGTGCTGTGCTCATAGCGATGCAGCTCGCCTGTTTTACTGCACCAAACGGGCTGTGAAGCTGTGGTGAATCTTATGTGGCGCTTCAATAACGCGTTCTGTCCCACATATATTTGGTAACGCAAAGAAGGGCACGCGACCTAAACACAGCTGCTACAGATTGCTCCATCTGTAGCTCTACAACCAGTACAATCAAGGAAAAGTGTTGGAAAGTTTGTTCTGGTGAACCAGCAGGGGGAGCTCCTGTATCAGAAAACTGCCCGGATCGCCTCCCTTGCACAGCGGTTTGCGTCGCCCTCCCGGGGGAGCTGCCCTCAGGCGCCAGCCCAGCGGGTTTCCAACTCCCCATTGAGAATTGGAGTTCACCTCACAGCTCCGCACGATTCGATTCGATTCTGCTCCAAGTTCCATCATTCCTTGTACCTGACAGCTCAATCGTTAAGAAGAGCAATGAACAAATGAAGATATTTAGAATTACGGGTCTTGGTGGCATTCTCCCCATAAAAACGGTTGCAGCTGCAATATTTCATATGCAGTGCAGCAAAGGCATCCCGACTGCAGTTTGATCACACTGCGCTGTGCGGCAATCTGCAATGGAGGAGTGATGGCTTCAACTGATTGCATGTGAGAACATTAGAACACAGGAATTCCAGAGGGAGCTGGGAACAAAGAGGGGTGTTTTGTTGGTTCCACTGGCTGAGCCAAGCTGATAACTGGTCACAGTGCTTGGGAGAATTCCAACTTAGTGTTCATTATATGGTTTTTGAGTCTACAAGGTGTTCTGTCACCGTTTTGCTGAAGCTGTTCCATACGATTCTCTTGGTTTTGCAGGTGGAGAAGCCAAGGAAGCTGTCAGTTTAGCCTGAAAGTTGAAGTGCTGGCTAATGAGCTCTTAATTAGGAGATTGGAAACCATTTGTGAAGCTGAAGATAAGACGAGGCTTTGGAGGCTTCCAAAGGTCAGATTTTCTTTTCTTAAATAATTGTTACTGTAGTAAATAATAGCAGAGCTTTAAAATAAACGGGGTAGTCAAAGTGGATCCAAGAAGAATGAGAAAATAAACGCATGGTTTGGAGGACGATGTGGGTGGTGGAGTCTATTCCTGCTTTTTGGTAAGTGGCTGTTTTTGCCACAGAGAACCCAAACCAACCTTAGCAACGCTTATAAATCCCAACTGCCAGCAATTTTAATTGATTTATGGTAATTGCTTTGGTTTTGCATCTATTCAATCTGTTCCTTGCTACAAAGTTTCATGAGGTCATTTTGTTAATTATTTACTAATATTTTTTTTTGAGTTCACATATTAACTATTCCTTATCATCATCCTGGGTCCCAGGCTGCCAAGACTCTGTTCCCAGAACTGCTAAAATGTGTTTAACTTTTCTGCAGGTGATTATTCTTGACAAATTGAATGGATTCTGTTACGTTCTGAAAGTTATGCTCCTGAGTGAAAGAAGGGAAATGTTCCATATCCGATGTAGCTGCTCTAATATGCTTTGGGGCAGTTAATTGTTATTGCAACATCACAAAGAAATTTACCTCTGTGTAGGATGAGTCCTGGTTGTTTGTTTAGCAAACAGCGTCTGCGGTATTTTCCTGTATTGGGAAAAATGAGTAACTGCTGCAATAAGTAAAGCATCATTTGAAGTTTCTTAAACCCATACGAGCAAAGGTGCAGGCAAGGTTGTATACTTAATGATTTATATTTAGTCACTAATTTAAACATGGACATTCAGCGCTTTTTTTGCCTTCTCTACTTCCTCTAAGATCTTCACATCCTTCTGAGGGACAGAAATTTCTGTGCAGACTTTGTTTCCATTGCACACTTCTCAGCTCTTCCTTATAACAGATAGGGGAGTGACTGCTTTACTGCCATTAATACAAGGAAGTCCAAAACGTAAAACAAATGCACCGTGCAGTAATGATTAACTTTTCCTCCCACATGTTGCATGTCTGTGTGTTATTAAGCTTGGTTTTGCCACTGCAGACCTGCTGGTATTATGGAAGAGGTTTGGAGCGCAGCTTTCAAACGCGGCAACAAGCAGATGTTTCAGTTTCCAACCTGAAGAACAGGTTCTGCAGATATAAAAGCAGCTAAGTGTCTGTTCAAGATTGTTACCGCCCTCTGACTCTTTCTGCCTCCTCCCACTTTGAACTTGTTACCCTGGAGCCGAACTGTTTGAATAAGGGCTGTAAAAGCTGCTTTGTGATCAGTTAGCTGAGAGCCCTCAACATGTAAAGCGCAGGGAGGAGCCTTCTCTCTCTGGTTTTGCAGTTCCCTCCCCTCCACTTTTTTTTTTTCTCATGCTCATGGAAGTTCCGATGTAACATGGAAAGAAGTTGGGACAGGTTGACTGCACAGTCCAGAGAGGAGAGACAAAGGTTTGTTGTTTGTTTGTTTGTTTTGTTTCAATTTTCTGCCTTCTGTGTCAGGAATGTTCTGGTGTGCTTTTAACACTTACGTGCACTCTTAACATTAGCAGCAAATGTTATGATATGCTACCACAGGAATGTATATAGCTTTATGATTGCAGCAGAGTTTGTTGTTTCTTGTGCTTTCCTCTTCTTGAAGAGAGAGAATAGAAAGAGCACCATGTGTAGTGCTTGTTTTATTCTAGTCGTGCTTTCTCTGGTTACGAAAATGCATAGAACCTTGGAATTCTCTTAGTCCTAAATGTATGGATTTTTCAGAGCTTGTGGGAATGAGGGGAACTGCATTTTAAATTAGCAGTTCAGACTTTTTGAACTGGACTGTTCTCTTCAGTACAAGAGACTAACATTCATTGCAGAATGATGACCTGAGCATTGAGCTCTTGCAGGAATATGGAGACAAAATTAAAACCGACTTGAATGAGAGAAGTCGATTTTAAAATCAACTTTAGGTATTCAAGTAAAATACCAGAAGGTAATGTAACCTCTGTGATTCTGTGATAGAGGAGTAGTGAATCGTGACTTGGAAAGGTGTGTGTGACCTGTTGAAAGGATGCCTGTGGTCTGGATTTCTTTTGTCATTGGTTTGGACTGTGGACAAGGAATTTTCAGTTCTTTTTGGCATTAAAAAAAAGTGAGTTAGCATTGCAGAGATTGGCAGATAACAAGGATGGCTGTGCTGTGTGCTGTAAATGCCTCAGGCTGCAGAGTTTAGATGTAGATCTTAGGCATACCCCAAATCCTGATGGTGGTAAGTGCTAGAAACGTGTTTTGTTCCATGACACAGGTGGGTTCTACTGCTGAATAATAAAACTGAAGCAGGGTAGGGGTCACTGCTGGCTGTGGTATGCGTGGGCTGCTGTCTTTGGAATCTGAGTTGTTGTGGTTGAAGTTTTGTCTATTAAATGACATTTTCTGTTCTTACTGAGTGGAGAAAAATGTTATCTAGATTACGCTCTTTCTAGCCAGCTAAGAAGGAACTGTTATGTATGAAGGAACAGTTTAGACCAACTGAAGGACAGAAGATTTGTGAAGGAAGGTCGGCGACTGCTGATGAGATACACTGGTTATCCAAGAGCAGGAAAGATTGTATGCTATCCAAGTGGCTGCATCCTCCCCAAAGCCAATTACCTCACTACCAGTGTATGAAGAACAAATAATGCCTGCTCATCTCTGAGCTGTTCAGTAGGTGGGCTGTCTGCTTCTAGGTGCCGAAGGTTGCCTTTATAGACTGGAGACCATGAGCAAGCATAGAAAAATTTGCACTGATAGCTCGGTTTTCTATTTAATGTAGATCTAGTTGTGTCCTGGCTTCGTTCTTTTTGGTTGCGTCGTATCTTGGTTCTTTTTCACCCAAAGAATCAACCTTCCTGATCGTTTGCCTAAAATGTGTCTTCCTGCATAAAACCAGGAGAACTTTATTCCGAGATTTTTTTTTTAGTGAGTTTGTTTCATCCTTCTGTTAGTCCCAGAAATGTAATTTAGCCTTGCTTGTCCTTGTAACTCATGGAGTTGTCATCCTATGGAGCCACGGGTCCTTCACGACTGCAAACCGCATGGACTGTTTGTTAACTCACGCCTTATTGTTGGCAAGGAAGTGCAACAAACTAATGAAATGACTTGCCTATAAATTTGTGTAAAACCTATGAAATCTACGCCCTGGAGACTGCAGTGTTGTTTTCAGTTATTCCTTTTGGTTTGTTTTTGTTTGCTCTGTAAACATGAGAACTTTGTGTTGTATGGCCGGACTCTTTATACGTTAATCTGGAAAGGCTTTATTTCTTCTAATGTGGCATTCAGCATTTCTGTAGATAAGGCTGAATTAAAAGCTGCTCCATACTTATCCTAAATTGTCTGAGAGAGCATCTGAATGAATGTTGCTGCAGGTAGTCCTTTCTACCGTGGGAGATTGTTGATAATGTTAACAAATTGTAACTGCCAAGGTAAGATTGAAATTCTTCTTGTAAAAACATTTTGGTTAGGAATAAAGGATACACAGCGTATGCATTTTTAAGTCTGTATTCCATTTCAGAACACTGGAAAGCTACTCTTCTCGCAGCTTAATGTAATTATATTGTTTGCTGCAGTATTTACTCTGCTTTTAAAATAAAATATACAGAATGTGGTACTAAATATAATTAAAAGGGGCCAACTTACTTGTGAATGTCACTGTAATTTGTTCCTATTAGTTCCATTAGTTTGTCCAGAGTTGGGAAAATGACCGTGTAAGTACATTTGTGAGGGAAACAGGATGAGGCTGAAGAGATTTTTCAGAAAAGAGGGTCTCCCAGTGAGTGAGGATCATCTGAATTTACTGCAACACATTTGTCATGCTCCAGGAAGGCACATGGCTGATTACTGTGTAGGCAGATAGCTGAATGGAAGAACTCCTCAAATCCTTAGGGAAACTTATGTGTACTGTTTGATTTCTTCTAAGCAGGTGTAATGGGGTGGCTGAATTTACTCTGTATTTGCAGCATACTTGTATTTATGTTGCTTAGAACTTTGGTTTCTGCTTTCTGTATACATTATAAATTGAATACAGGCAGTAGAAGTGTATACTGGTAAGAGTATTGACAAAGGGGTAATGTTGGCTGGATTGCTTTGAAAATTCTTTATTTGACTTTCTTAATTTTTTATTTTTACATTGGTTTATTTGGTCTGTGGCTGGACCTGAAGCGAGACGGAACAAAATACTGTCACAATATATACCAGCAGTGAGTTGACTTCTAGCCACCTTGCCCACCCCAAATACAGAAGGCCAGCACAGAACAGCTATTAATTCTGTTTCAGTGTTTGGATTAAGCAGGGTTCTGGCTTTTTGTGTTCTGCCTAGTAAAGAAACTTTGCCCCTGTGCGCTTTGTTCATAGGCTCAGTAGAGCTCTATTTTTCTTGTAATGATTCAAAGGGTTTTATTGCAATATTTTTATCAAGTCATATAATAATATAAAAAAAAAAAATGTAATTTTGCCCTTCCCTCCTGTTTTTAAAGGAAATGATTGAAGTCTGGAAGCTTGTTATAGTACTTCATAGATGAGAACAATTAGTTCTTTCCATAGATAAGGCAGGCATAAAATCTAGTTGCAGAAGTAGAGAACCCTCTCTTTGAGAGGATCCGATTCAAAGTCCACCTCACTGCTTAGAACCCAGACTTCAAATCTGTAGGGAATTTCCAGACTTTTTAATCCATTGTGTAATCTGTTTTGCTGGGGGTGGAGCGCTTGCCTTCAGCACACAGAAGTATACAGTAAAGACTTTGGCTGGGTACTGGTGAAACTGCAGGCTGTGACAAATCTTTACGCGTGCTTAGGCGAAGTTCTGACTTCCTTTCCTGTTCCTGTCTGTCCGCTGCCATCTGGCAGACTGCGAGCGTCTGCGTTACTGACAAATTCTTGTAGTCCTCCAATCAAGCAGAGCTAATGCTTCAGTATTGTTTTAGTCTTCGTTTACGTTGTGCTGTGTGAGGCATAATAGCTCACATAGGAGCAGTGGTAGCTGAAGCCCACACTTGAACTTTATTTCCATTTTTCCTAATATGAATTAAACCAAAATGTTGAAGCTTTAACCTAGGAGATGAAAAACATAGAAAGGATGGGAAGATGATGCTTCAGGCTTCCTGTCATGAATAACTTCCTCAGGTGCAAAATGGCATTTGTGAGAACTCACGATTTGATCTATCCAAGGTTGGATTTCAAGCAAGAAAGAGTTAAGTTGTAGAAATAACCATTGAATTCATTTTAGAAGGGCAGCTTCCTCGTCCACGGACTTGCAGTGTTAGCTGAGTGAGATCCTCAGCTCTCTTTGAGGAAGAAATGCAGCATGCAACTTTAGAGATTGATTTTGTGTACATGTTTCTGATCTGGCCCAGCATTTTTATTCTTTGTCACAGCCTCTCTTGTTTCCATTTAATTAAGGAATGGCTCCTGGAGAATCTTCTTACATCTGTGTAGCTGTCGTGGAGCTCTGGACTGCCTCAGAAATTAAGAGGGAAATAGGTGGGAAGTTGAAGGAGCTTTGTATGTTAATATTCGTGGGAGAGATTGTAAGTGCTGCGGAAAGCATGCAGTTCCCATCACTTCCAGGTGGTGTTTGCCAAGGGCCCTTATGCAGAAACCTGCAATACTACTTTTTATATTGAATCTGATGTTAAGTGGATGTCTCCTCCTTGCAGGACTAGTCACTATAAAGGAACTTAAAAGAAGCTCCTGTCTCTCCACTTCTCTCCTTCAGCCCCCACCCCTTACACACACATTCCACAAGCTGCTTCCAGAATTTCCTAGTATCCTCTTGCAATAGGAAAATCAAGTGTAGAATGATAGTGGACACTGGAATGAATTTTCTGCAGTTTTTCTCTGCCTTTGACTAACAGCATGGAATTTTTATCTGCTAATTTTAAATAAATGAGCAAGAAATGGAGTTCGGGCAAACAGTGGAAGCTATGGTAAAGCATATGATTGAGGTGCTTAGAAGGTGAAGCTGCAGAGTCTGCAAGAGAGGGAAGAGCAGAGAATTCTGGAAATGTGGTATGTGCTGATATTGCCTAGTGGGGTTGGTATGAGAACTGAGTAAAATGTACTCTCTGTTTAATTTGGTGTGTCAAAGATGTGAACAGACAGCTGCATAAAAGGAGTTGGCTGAGGAGAGCCATGCCAGAGCTTTTAGAAAAAGCATGAGATAGGTTGTCAGATGGCTGAAATGGCCAGGAAGGCTTGCCTAAACTCAATTGGCTTGGAATAAGTCTTTCTTAAAGGTAAGTTTTACTGTTTGTGTAATGTCCACTTGGAAAACACTTAGTGGATTTGGTGATAGATTGCATTCCGTGACTGGTGTTAGATCATCCTTTGTTAAACCACTCAGTACTTTTGTTATCTTCTACTGTATATAGCATCCTACTTCTTTATTCCTTTTCTATGAGTTCAGAGAGGTACATAATGAGATAAGCAGTTATGGA